TATGAGAGGTTTTTCTTTAAGTTTGCTCTGGGATTAACCCAGAGCAAACATATTCCCCTGTTTTCTCTCTAGATATCTGATGCATTTTTTATTTTGGTGTCATGGGTTTTTTTTTGCTCATAACCGTTATTCTTCTAATATAAAAGTAGCCAGTTACTCCTTATAATATCAGCTATCTACCAGTGTAAGTCTTGTCAAAATCAGTCTAGGCATTATGGAGAACAAACAGACAGACGGACAAAAAATTTAAATATTGTTATCTTGTTATGAGTGCCGTATATACTTTCATATGCACTTAGTAAACGGCTGTTATTTTTAAATTAGAACAGATACTTCAATATGTTATTAAATCATGTATTTTTAGACTCAATTTTTCTTACATGCTATGTTAGTAAAAACTGAACAAAATCTAAACAAAACTTGACACGGTGTCTAAACTTCTTGCTTGTCGGCTTGAGAAACTCATAAAATACGTAGTTCAACAAACCTTGCAAGCAGGTAGGAATCCATTTTATTTATTTTTATAGCTTAAACAGTTAAAATGCAAACAGTTTTACGATACAATCTGTATGTTGATAGGATTGACATGTCTTTTCGACAAACATCCCGATAGAAAACAAGAAAATTTGTACCCGCCACCGCGTAAAATAAATTTATTATTTTAAAAATAGAAAACTAAAAACTCTCTCAGTAATTAGAGGGCTTCTGTGCCTGAGAGTGGGATTTCAGATTAGTAGACACCCAGACAACTAATTGAAAATACACAGATATGCCCATAATCCTTGTTATATTTATTGTTCGTTGAAAAAAAAATCGGTACAGTTTTAGAGGCGGAACAGGGAAATACAGTATATATTTAGTGGAACGGGAAAACAACAAGCGTTATCCTCAATTAAGAATCAAAATTCATATGCGTTGTCACCCCCGAAGACTATGATGGAGTGGTTTGTTTCTAATAAAAAGGATCTCCGGTTCACCACACTTACCATACCTACGAAACAAAGTTGCATTATGCTGCTATTTTCCGCTGGTATTCTGTTAGTAACTACCGCGGGTACCATGAAAACATTAAAAAACGGTATAATAATTTCATCATGTTTTCATAGGTATAATCGGTCCAAGATGCAGTTGTCTCTCTTCTTTAACTTGCTCGGTTGTTCGGCAACAGCGTGAGAGCTAGACGTGACCCCTTAAAAATTATTCTTCCCATTTCTTGTAGCCCTTCATATATCATTTTAAAGCTACGCTTGGCTACTGGATAAATGTAATAAATAGCTGAATAAAATGATTTATTTTAAATTGTGGATGCCTGTAATCGTAAACAGTAAATAATTAATTATTTACTATTAATCGGGTCATAAGTTCTGTCAAAAATAAACGTAAAATTTTTGAATACTGGCTAGATGAACTTCACCAATTTTAAAAATATAACTTTTGCGCTTGCCGAAAATAAAAAAAGACATTATTTTTCATTCATTTTCAAATATGGAGTGCTCGAAGAAAGCAGATAGAGTAGCGGTTATCGCGTTGCACCGCTGTAGTTACGCGCCAAAAGATATTTTCAATATTCTACAAAAATTTAAAATAACCCTACGATTTGTTTATCGCACTATCAAGCAATTCACTGAAGATTCAAGCTTCGATGATCGTAAGAGGACCAGCCGACCTCGTACAGTTCGGAGTCCCGCGATCATCAAAGCAGTGAAGGCGCGAATCTAACGAATCCTGTTCGTATACAAAAAATCTTAGCTTTTCAAAAGGGCCTAAGCAGGACCACGGTTACAAGAATGATCAATGAAGACTACGAGCTTATCGTAAGAAGACCGGACATTTTTTGTACACCGATTTGTATACCAATAGATGGCAAAATATATCACACTTTATAATATTACCGATCTTAACGCAAAGTAATTGAATTGAAAATAATCACAATCATGTGAATTTCTGCTAATTCTAAACTCACTTTAGTAGAGATTGACACTATCGATAATATCTTATCGAAATGCCCCTAAATGGCAAAGGTATGCTTTGCATGCAGCTTTATGCAATTTCGTAATATATTTTCATTTTTAGGCTTCTGTTCCGTTAGATTCCGTTAATTTTTGGGAGCGCAATAAGTCGCCATGTTAAATTTTATTTGCTATCATGCAGCTTAAAACCCGCCAAAGGGCACAATGTTTCTAAGGGTAATCTAATTTTAAATTATTTTTATCTTTAGATTAAATGAGATTTATCAAAATTCTATTAGTAGTTTACAAAGCCTTCTAAAATCGTAACCATACTTTTGGCTTCGCCTCAGCGTCTGAGTCAAACCACGAATATACTGCAATGGGTATCGATAATTGAAGTTGAGGCAGGCAATGCATGGTGCAGTACTATTTATTACCCACATTACACGCCATCGCCAATCTAGTATATACTATACCTATGGATGAATCCTACTATTCCTTCTCATATTATAAACTTGAAAGTTTGGATTATTGTATGTTTATGACTCAGTCACGTAAAAACTAGTAAAATTATTTTGATAAGATTTGTCAATAATAGGGCATAGGCTATATTTTTGTATTTACAGGCAAATCTTTTTTTTAAAAAATCATCACTTTCACATTCACTTTAATTAAACGCGAGTCTAGTCGCGGGTCAAAGCTAGTGTTTTATAAAGGAAGAAAGAGAGGGACGGTGTTCATGGTCTTTAGCGTGGTACTAAATGCCCAATTTACGTTCCACCAATAAAATCAATGGAGTATCATTTAGTAGAGCCTTGCAGAACCTTGGAGATGATGGTGACATATCTCTACACGAAGCCGCCGGTAGGAGAAACAGGCCCGCTGACAGGAGGAACAGGCCTGTCCGCATGAGGAACAGGCCCGTCTTTTAGAAGTGCAGCTCAAACGTAATAAGGAAGAGCAGATGCTCCTCATGAAGGACCTTCACGCTACCTTCGGGAAAGAGATAAGGGAGGTGAAGATAAGGTTACTCAAAATGACAACCGCCCGTCGGTAGCTGAAATCCAAATCAGCCAAGTGAAGAAAACGCTGGACGAACTCAAACTTGGTGATGGAATTACAGCTCCCGTAGTAGCTACAACACCTTCGCTACTACAGGAGCTGTAATTCCATCGCCAAGATTCATTTACCTATTCACCTATTAATCTAAAAATACCCTGCGTTCTAGTATTTTCAGGTGAATGGAATAAGGTGTATGGAAACAACTAAAAAAATATTTGACCTAATAAAATGTGAATCTTTGATATGATTTTTGCCGTTACGTAAATGATTTTCAAAAATAATAATATAAGAATATTTCTTTCACTATTTTTATTCTGACTGTACATAGTTTGAACGAATGTAAAATAAGCTGTCGGATACATGTACTTTTCGTTTTATTTGTAACCTTTCAGAGATTTTAAACAGAGTTCTTATATTTAAAATCCGGCCTAGCCTAACTAGTAGTCTAAGGGGATCTTAGCAAATGTAACATATATAGAGTACTAGCTTGCCAGGCAGACGTTGTTCTGCCCTTTACGACGACCCTTTGTCATTTCCTATAAAAAATTCTTAAATTCGAAAAAATGTTGTGGGTCACTCAAGGGCAAAAAAATATCCTATCCATATACCAAACTGCAGTGGAAATTTGATTAAAAGCGGTTAAGTTGTTTAGGAGTCCATCGCGGACAAACAACGTTACACGTAATTTATATATATTAAGATAATCCTACATCGGGAATGTGCAATTCTTTTATAACATCTCATATATATGTATCATCATGATCATCATCATCATTATTACAGCCTTTCAAAAGTCCACTGCCGAACACTGGTCTCCCCCAAGGTATGCCACAAAGCACGGTCCTGAGCCACCCACATCCATCGACTTCTTGCATACCTTACCTCGTCGTCAATCAAGCATTCGCAGTTTATTATTTTTTAATTAGTTGTTTTTAGAAAGATGCTTTAGCCCACCTTCTGGTTTGGTTCCCTATGTCACCTCTTGTAACGCTTACGGGACGATATGGGGATATACATAAATATTTACACCGTCATTACACGGCCAAATTTTATTTTCTGTATACCGTATATATTATGTAACTTAAAAATTAAAAATATTAAATGTAAAACACTGTTTGTGGATTTGAAATAATGGAGAGAGATTTGTTAATTGCAATTTTTTAGTACTTATTTATCACGTGTAGTCTCTCTCAGAACTCTTCCTAATAAGAAAAATAAAATGTGAACAGTGTGCATTTACCGACCAAATTTGCGATGTATTGAAGCTGGGTCAAGTTAAGAGTACTCTTAACCGACGAGCATGTACACGTAGATAAGTGTATGTGAAATATTAGAGGGAGTTGTGTCAGGATCGTACCAAATGGAAGTCCGTAGACGCTGTCTACTCCTCTCGGGGTGACAAGCGAGTGTCCATGTTATAATATGTCATAACACGCGTGTAGATGAAAAAAAATTAGAACCACATCGTGTCCCTTGTTAAATTGTGCAGCAAATATAAATTTATTATGCGGTACAATTTCCCTTATGCCGGATGCAATCAATTTGAGCGTTATAGCGCAGTGCGCGGGCGCGTTGCTCGCAGTGCTCGGAAGGCCACCGTCCGCCATCTGCGTGACGGGTGCTCTAGCCAACAGCATCTCCGGTCCATCTAAGTCCCACTGCAGTTCCTCTCAACCTAATTTCACGAGGGACCGCGGTAGACGGCAAGCCTATAAGTGATTGTAGTGTCCAAGGAGTTTCCTGGTTTTCGAGTTTTGTGAAATAACGTTGTGATTTTTAAAATATAGATGATTTGAAGTGATAACTACGTAAAAATGGTTTATCCTTTGAAATCCAGTTAATGCAGTTCAAATAAATGTACATATAGGCAAAGGTGTTATTTAGTAGTGGGAAAGTGGTATCACGGGAATGTGATACCACTTGAAAAAAACCACCACGGAAAAATCTAAGAAAGCAGATAAGCGTCAAAAAAGGAAGCGAATATCCGATATGAGGTGAGGTTTAAAATCATCTTCATCACAATCCTTTAAGTCTATTCTTGGAAATAGGGTTCTCTAAAGTATGTTACAAAATAAGGTCCTGAGTCACCTACATCAACCGACTTTGAATTATAGTTCAGACAATATTTTTGAAGTGTTTTCAATTTAATAAACAACCAGTTACAATATACGCGTATATTTAAAATTGTAAGGATTATCATCATCATCATCACATCCCTTCACAAGTCCACTGCTGAACACAGGCCTCCCTCAAGGAATGCCATAAAGCATGGTCCTGAGCCTCCTGCGTCCATCAACTTTCTGCATGTCAAATTGTAGGGATGAGCCCGTAATATTCAAAAATACACATAATTTATGTATATCTAAAATATTACTACCAAATTTACGCAGCTAGACAAATCTAATACCAGCATTGTACTAACGCATTTTTACGTGTTATTAAAAAAAAGTATTTACGATCGTTTTACTACAAAAGAGAAAACCGCTGGTTACGGATCTTTTTCAGTATATTGAGAAATTGAAATACACCAGAGTTTTTTATGATGCTGGTGATGTCCTATTAAAATTCTATAGCTACTGTAACTCAACTCCATACAAACGTGCATATCGACGCACGCACACAGACACGTGCCTCAATGAGACCTCTAAGCGAACTTCGCAATACATTCGACCATTTTTATGTATATTATCTTTTTGATTATTATTCTTTTATATGTGTATCACTTTATCCTTATTTTTATAGAATAAGAGTGACAACGAGCGTACAATCACGTTATTGGTAACTGGATGATGTGGCCCATAGACATCTACATTTAGCCTCGATTAAAAATCAAAATTCAGATGCGTTGTCGCCCCTGAGGACTAATATGGAAAGCATTTTACAATAAAAAGGGTCTTAGATTCTTTACTCACCATACGAAACACAGCAACATTAAAGTGCTTTATTATCATTCGATTGTTGAGCATCTTAGAACCGAAAGTGATATTCCAAAATATATTTAACACGCGGTAAAACCAAACTTCAGCTATATTATAATTGTAACAACAATATGTCGGCTCACCCGGGGACGGACTACGTTCATACAAAATACCAGCAAAAAATAGCAAGATCCTTAGAGCTATTTTGCTAAAAATGAGGCATTCCATCATAGTCCTGACAATTCATTGGCATTTTGCTTCTTTATGAAGGATAGATGTAGGTGTCTATGGGTGATCCACTTATGCGTTAATTTACCATCAGGTAGACTGTGTGTGCTTGTATTTCACCCTTATTCTATAAAAAAAGAAAACTTAAATTGAACTAAAATTGATAGTAACAACTCTGACGCTCCAATGCAGCATAGGTAATTAGTTCAAAAGGGGCCTAGTTGAGGTACTGCATCTCTATATTTATTGTTTTGTAATTACGATTACTTTGTAAAAACTGGGCAGGAAATGATACAGTCCTCCAAGCTAAGGACAAAGTGAAAACCATCGTCTTGACTCACACAATCATAGTGACGTCCCACACACCGAATTTCAGTCGACGGACAGACGGAAGACTAGCCATGTGCGCAGGTCTCGCTTATAGTGCAAGAGTGTGCGCACTGCGCACAAGCACAGGTACGCTCCATTCATTTGCTTTTACAGTCCGATGGAACGTCAATGCGACACGAATGGAGAGAGTTAAGTCCCAGGACAACGTCTTTACATGATTCCCTAGGCACGAGGATAAAATACCAATAACTACGAGTGCTTATCCTTTGAGTTATCACGGCTACATCTACATATAATGAATAAAAATTATTCTATCCTCTTCCATCTCAGCGGAACCAAACAATCTTGTCATTGTACCGTGCCTGGTTAATTAGCTTAGCTGCCCGCTTTTCCGGGAAGGAAGCTACAAATTGCCGCACTCTGCTTCAAGATCTTCATTAAATTATTCGTACAAAGTCATGATGAGCCCTATCATAAGTGATTTCTTAGCATTCTTAATACTGTTATAAGTGCATATTTTATATTGAACCAAAAATTAAATTGGTACCATCCATTTCGCCGCACACGAACCCTTGTTTTGATCTTGGAAGGCACCAATTTGTTGATTGCAATTTTAAGTGCTTTCTTCTGATGACATATACAGGCTGTAACTTTTCTTTTTAAATAGGCTTTTAGCAATTAATTTACATTTCTTCCTTGTTTTCACGTCAAATGTAAAGTGTAAACGGTTTCCATTTACAGTTCAAATTGGCGATTTATTGAACAAGGGCCAAATTAAAAGTACCCTTAACCGACATCTTGTTCGTATGCGTAGATATATGGTTGTGAAATAATTCCAGGAACGTACCAAATAGAAGACCTTAGTCTCTTGATGGTATTGAATACTAAATGGATGCCAAATGGAAGTCCCTAGTCCTCAATCTTATAGCAATTAATTTGATTACGTAATAACAAATGTTTCTTACACTGGTCCACATCGCATATCTGTTTTTTTTTACAATTGGCATTTTCGAGTATGCCGCAACATATCGGCAGTAGCCTTTTTAACATATACGATACCCAAGGATTAGTTATGCCTCCATAACGCGAATCATCATCATCAACATTACAGCCCTTCACAAGTTCTAAGCTAACCATAGGCCTTCCCCAAGGAATGCCACAAAGCACGGTCCTGATCCACCTGCATCAATCGACTTTCTGCATGTCCAGGTCGTCACTTCATCTAGTGGGGGGTCGGTCTACACTACGCCTGCCGGTACGAGGCTGCCACTCGGGAACCTTTTTTCTTCATCGGTTGTCGGTTCTTCGAGCTATAATTTCGTTCTAATTTTTACGTGCAAAGATACAGGTCGTGCTTTAAAACGTTCCATTTCATCAAGGAGCAACCAGACTCTCGGCTAGTCTCCACTTCTTTGTTGTCGACATACCACGCATTCGAACTAAACTGTTTCTCGTATTTCCATCCGATTAAAATGTAGGTGTCTTCAAGACAAGTGTTAATAGGCTTTTGTTAAGCTCAGTCATCCTCGGCTGCATCGCTACTTACTACCAGTACCGTAAGATTCAATACACCGCCTCACACCAACAAATAAAGATAGACGGAACACTTCGTACATTTCTAGGGACGCCAATGCCAACTCAAAACCATGCTCAGCTTATTGTAAAACGAAGAACTCACACATACCTATATGTATCTAAAAACATTCGTAATCAGCGACATAGGTGTATAAGTGTGCGCTTAGTGGTGGACTTTCATAAATCGGAAAAAAAATCGGCTCATAAATAAAAAAAGAATACAAGTCCTTTTTTATTGTTCTAAGCCAGTGCTTGGCTACAATCCCACCTGATAGTAAGTGGTGATGTAGCCTAAGATGGTGAATCGCATTGACTTAAATAAAACCTATTCACTCTTGCCTTGAAGACGCCCCAACTGTGATCGGATGGAAAGACAGATGCTGGCGACTTATTCCACTCCTTTGCTGTACGCATGATGAATGACATAGCAAACCGTTTGATTCGAATGTGTGGTAAGTCAACAAAGAAAGGGTGGAGACTGGCCGGACGTCTAGTTGTTAGATGGTGGAAGGGAGTGGGATGATTTAAATTTAGCAATTCCTGCACACACTCTTCGAAATGCATCCTGTAGAAAACCGAAAGGCTAGCCACTTTACGCCTGTGTTCGAGACTAGTAGGATTGGTTTTAACCAAATTCGAGTCACCAATAAACCTCTTAGCATGCCTTTCCATTGATTGCAAAGCTGAAGCTGAAAAAAATGTGTGCGTGAGTGCGTGTCAAAAAGTTGAGCATGGTTTCAGCGTCACTTGAAATAAGAATATTCAACGTGGTAGAGCCACTCTGCATTTTCAATATAATTGCAGCAAGAATGTGTCGACTCAAATTTTGAAGGAACACGATCGCAGATAATACAAGCGTGAATAGCAGCTTAATACTGCTGCGTTTCTCATGTTGAATATACAGAAGCGGAGACCATCTTTACAACTACCGAAGCAATCTATTTTAGTCTTCAGGCATTGCAACATTTCTAGATTTTGATTCTTAATTGAGGAAAGATCTTTGAAACGCAGCATCCACTTACTATCGAGTGGATTGTGTACTAGTTTGTCACCCTTATGCTTTTTATAAAACCTAACAATAAAATGAATCAATGAATATATTTCATAACTAATACTGTAGCTACTACTGTTAGCCCATCACAAATCCATTGAGAGCCACAGTCGTAGAGTCGGTCTTATATTTACAGTACAGTCTTGAACCACCCGAATACAATGCCTGCATTGGTGTACCTCCATTTATACCAAAACTGCGCTTACTTGTATCTACGAGGCTACCTTGAGAACCTTTTTTCTCACATCGGTTGTTGCTTTATGACTTTTTTTGGTCATACTATATGACCGGCCCATTACCACTTCAGCTTACTGATAAGATCGGTATTAATTGAACATTCCAATAAACATACAATGTTTAGTAAAACTAAAACCAAAAGCTTAAATTACTAATATATATATATATATATATATATATATATATATATATATATATATATATATATCATCGTCATCATTACAGCCCTTCATAAGTCCACTGCTGAACATAGGCCTCCCCAAGGAATGCCATAAAGCACAGTCTTGAGCCACCAGCATCCAGATCGTCACTCCATCTAGTGTGAGGATCGCCCTACACTACGCATACCGGTACGAGGCTGCCACTCGAGAACCTTTTCTTCTATCAGTTGTCGGTTCCACGATCTATATAGCCGGCCCACTGCCACTTCAGCTTACAAATCCGTTGGGCTATGTCAGTCATTCTGGTTCTTCTACGGATATCATCCTAGCCCTCTCCATAGCTCGCTGAGCGACCTTGAGGTTCTTCAAACGGCCAGCAGTGAAGGCCCACGTCTCAGATCCATAAGTTATCACTGGCAATACGCACTGGTTGTGCAATCTAGTTTTCAGTTTTTGAGCTATACCTAACGAGCAGATGTGTCGTAATTTCCCAAACGCTGGCCAGGTTGTCAATCTCTCGGGCGAAGTTGGACTTACCTAGTCGGACTATTTGTCACAAAAAAACGTACTTGTCAACAACTTCGAGCTTAGTGCTAACATGGACAATAAACATGATCTTTGTTTTGTCCACGTTCATCTTAAGACCTATCTGTTGGGAGACATTATTGAGGTCATTTAACATAGTGCGTAGGTCCTCCAGCGATTCTGCCAAAAGGACTATATCGTCGATAAATCGAAGGTGAGAGATGTACTCGCCATTGATGTTAGTACCGTATTCTTTCCAGTCCAGTAGCTTGAAAACGTCTGCCAATGCAGCGGGGAAGAGTATTATATTCTTTTGACAACTCCGTGGCGTAGTGGCTTAGCAATGAGTGGCTGCGCTGGTGTTCGTGGGTTCGAATCCCGCACGGCACATAACAAGCCAACGGCCAATGACAAAAAAATTGGGACGTCAAACATCTCAGTCCCCCCCCCTTAAGAAGATTTAAGAATCACGTGCAAAAATAATAATAGGTATGTGCAAACCTTATACGTCTGTGTTGATCGCTTTATTGTGTGTGTGTGTGTTTGTGTGTGTGAGAGAGAGAGAGAGAGAGAGAGAGAGATATTTTCAATTTTTAATTTTAATGTAAGGTAAAAATGTATGGCCTACACAGGTCCCATTGGGCGCAAGCCCCTCATTTCTAAGAGGGTTTTATCAATCTGCATATCTTAGGAAACATTTTTATTTCTCAAACATGCAGATTTTCACTTTTCAGTGCACGTGGTTCATGAAAATAACTTAGTTTACCAAAATATAAATTGTTATTATTATTCGCATTAGTTGAAGTTAATTTTTTTTACAGGGTCGACTTCCGCGGACTGAAGTGTGCCACCGCGCTCCGTTCAGGAGTTAAGGCTGCGATGTACGAAAGCAGCTGTTCTTATGCTGGGGCTCTAGAATTGAAGCGAAGCGCTCTTAAAGAGGAACCATGGCCTGCCACAGAATGGCCACCGTACCGCCTCCATCAGTCAACCTTCGAGCAACTGAAACAGAGCGTCGAGAAGGCAAAAGCCGCGCTCCAAGACAGATCTGGACTGCTGGGCACAGCTACAGCGTTCGGTGACTTTTACGGTGGCCAACTTGGTCAGGATTCGTCCAGCACAACACTTGGATTCGGAAGGACTACACGGACAGACGAGACGATGTTGGGGTCTATCGACAAGAACAAAATTGGTAAGTACATATATCAAAACATGTTTCTGCATCATAATTATTACAGCCATTTACGATGGTGACTTAAGGAACCGGATACTCTTTTTTTTTCATACTTCCAAGAAGAATGCGACAAAATAAGATCCTGAGTCATCTGCATACAACGGCTTCCTGCAGTTCTTACCGTGTTTTAGTAGTATGTTTATATTCATATTTTCCTTTTTTTAATAGCACCAATATTAGTGATATTGCTAATATTCCCTTTGACTACTCCTGCTACTTTTAAAATGCTTGTGTTAGGAGTGGGTCACGACCGAACCCACGACCTTTGAATTCGCTATCCAGCCACCCAGCCATTGACCTACTGTCGCATCGCAATAAAATATAATACATATACCTAAAATAAAAGCTTATAATTTTGTCTATGAAATTCAATATGGCGCGTGCGACTGTAATACACATCGTAAATAGAAATTAACAATAATAAACGTTGACGGAAACGATATGCTTACATAATTTACGTGCGAATTTACTTTTCTATGAAACAATTCGTGGAGTGGTGACGTAAGAGAATACACTATCCATATTATCCCATAGGTGACAAAAGAGGACAGAGGGAAACTGAAAGAGTGCTATTGACTTCACAGTGCGAAGTTATTGTAATGGGTCCGATTTTGCTAATTGGAAATTTTAACATATTTCCACGTTTCAAGGTCTTTCGAGTCGAATAGTATGGTTTTTAAGAGGATGTCCGTGTGTGCACATGTGCGTATGTATGCACCTATTTATGTTCGGATTCAATTTTCGCCTCGTGTATCTCGAGAACAAAGATTGATATCGACATGGGACCAGTTTAATTTAACGCATAATTATATAAGTTAGACCTCATTAAATTTTGAGCAAAATCGGATAAGTCGTTTTCGTGTCGAATGAAAAATTGTATAAAATACTAAAACATACGATATTTTTTTATTGGAAGGTTGGACCACTCCAGAGATTCACTGGGAAGTCGGTCGTGTGGACCTTTCGGGTCGCACCTAGACCACTTTTATTTTTTTATAGAATTAGGGTGACAAACGAGCATATAATCCACCTCACGGTAAGTGGATCCTGTGGCCCATAGACATTCAACCTCGATTAAGAATCAAAATACATATGCGTTGTCACCCCTTTTTTTTTTTTTTTTTTTTTTAACATGGGGAAATGTCTACGCATACCCGCCTCGCGGGGGCAAGGACGGGTTATGTCGGACTCGCACCGACTAAAACCCCATGGTGTTCCACCTTCGTCGCATATTGGCAGGGCTACGGGAACGCTTTCGCACACATCCGCGGCCCCACCAGCGACTGCCGCCCCATGGCAGCACCTCATCGGGAGAGGAATATTCCTCCCCGTTCTCCTTCCCAAGTAAGGCGCACCAGAACACATGGCACGCCTTCCTCCACGGCCTCCAATTACATCTGCGCAACAGACGCCCCCGCGTCCGATGCGCGAAGGCCATGGGGCCAGGAAAAACGAGCACTCAGAAGTACTAGCCTTCCCGACCCCAGCGGCGGATCTGGTCTATGGCTCCGCCGCCAACCAAGATTCGGCTGCGGAGGATAGGGAGAGCGGCGCCTCGCAATACCGACGATCCTCTCCCCCCGCAGCCCCATCACCACCGCATCAACGGTGCGGCCCCGTTTGAGTCGCGGAGGATAGGGCGAGTGGCGCATCGCCATACCAACACTCCTCTTCCTCCGCGACTCCACCTCGGCTGCAGCGGTAGGTGGGGAGGACACACCTCTCACCGCAGTCCCCCAACACACGTCCGAAGTGGGCTTCCCAAGCCCGCTCGGAGTGGCCACCTCGGGCCGGCCCTCCACCTCGGACCAGCCATATGGGTTCCTCTTTGTTTCGCCGTGGGTGACCAAGCCACGGCTTCTAAGCCCCCCCGCCACGACAAGGCGGGAACCCGTTCGGGGGGGATGCGTTGTCACCCCTGAAGACTAAGACGTAATGCCTCAGTTCCAGTAAAACGGGTCTCCGATTCTCTACACTCACCATAAGAAACAGCAGCATTAAGCTGATTTTTCACGCTGGTATTCTGTCAGAGCACGGTCTTTCCCCGGGCGAGTCGACCTTTCGTGCTACAACCATAATATAGCTGCAGCGTGGCTCTACCACGTATATAGTAATTATTTCATAGCGAGAATATTTGCCAGATTTGCCACGCTTAGTAGCGGGGTTGGTGACCGCAGTTTTTTATTATTTTATTTTTTAGTTATTCTTAAAGATGTAGTTTGTTCATCTCATACCCTGTTTCAGATCGCTTCGTTGCCTCTTATAACGCACACGGAACGATACAGTGTGGTAGACAGTGGATAATCTGACGCTGTCAATACACGGCGTATAATACTACTTGTCTTATTAAGGTGAAGATTTTTTAAGATGATTGTCCTTCACCGTCAAGCACGCAATAATCCATCACATAATATTAAAATTTTATTTTTCATAACTGTCTGTGGTGATCAAACGCGTAATTATTTCAAAGTTAAGTGAAATATATCAATAGGTACGCACTGATTTACACACATGGATATTAACCATCCATAACTCTTTGAAAATGAGAAGAAGTCTGTACCTAGCAAAGGACATGAAATATTCATATATATAGCTATTCCATTTGATTTTTTTTATTCGTGGTTTTCTTTGGAATGTTATTTCACGAAATTTTCTAAAATTTATTACTTCAATATTCTTTGAATTTTCACATCCGGAGCCCGTATAACAGAAAATCCACACAGCGAGGGCGCTAGCTTTAAAAAGGCATCGTTTCAGATACAAATAGGTGCTTATACCAAGCGCAGGTGTATCTTATATTTTATGTCCCTTGTGCTGGCCGCGAGGCATTAAAGTTAACACCCGCCGCTATACGAGATATCTTCATTTTTAAAGCCCATTGTAACCGACGTCAAATAGGTATTTCATGGCACAACGTTCCATGAGAATAAAAATCGATTTATTCACATGAAAAGTTTGGCCCATCTGAAAGTGACTCTAAACTAAAGACGTAAAGCAGCATTCGCTTTAGACGCGTTGGGAGTTAAACCCTTTCAGATGAGCACAAGAGTCTGTTGATACCTACGGCAACGCAAGGTGGGGAGCGGGTTTCTTCTAAAGATAACAATCGCTCTCAAGGGAGCGAGATGGGGGCGTGTGGGATGCGATACCCCGCTGTTGTCATAGCAACGCTCCCGCCCATACCCGCCCGCGAGATCATCCCGTCGCCTTTGATAAATACTAATGAAAATAAAACTTTATCATCTGCGTAGAGTTCATTATTACTCACCCGGGGGTGGGTAAAGTTAGCCCGCTTCCCGCATTTTAACAAGGGGTCCCCACCGTGGCGGCAGATCTCGTAGGAGTTTCGCTGTGCTCGTTACAAGGCGGTACAAACTGGAACTTTATCATTGTTTTTGTCACTTTAATATATAAAATTGCGTCTATTAAAAGGTATTGTTGGTAACTCCGTAATATATATGATATGAGGCATTCTATACAGTCTTACGATTACGACTATCTACGTTATAATGCTACCGATTGATATACACACAATATGCTATGCACAGAGGGCTATGCTCGGGGTTTCTCTGCTTGATATTTACTTATAAATGAGGATATCTCCAGTAGAACTGGAGTAACCGACATAGCTAACAGATAGGTAAGTAAGCTAAAGTGGCAATGTGCCGGCCATACAGCTCGAGAACCGTCAAGTTTCTTGAGCGGCTGCCTCGTACCGGCAGACGAATTGTGCGGCGGCACCCCCACTAGATGGAGTAATGAGCGAGTTATAAGTGACAGTAGCCTAATGGCAGGATGTGGACCGCGTACTCAAAAAGGTCGTGGGTTCGAATCTACCATTCGACTACTGGCGTGAACCACTCGTAACACAAGCAATTTAAGCTTACCACGAGTGGTTATGGGGAATATTAGTAATGTTTATAGCATTGTTAATATTCTTTTATAAAAAATGACCTGGTAATATATTCAGGAAGTCGATTGATGCAGGTGGCTCAGGAAGGTGCTTTGACTTGTGAAGAGCTGTAATGACGATGATTATGACACACATTGTGTACCCATTTATGTAGAGGAAAGTAACCAAATATGGAATAGTATCCCCAAAATGGAATACCGCCATTTCTCGGAAACGAATACTCCTAGTTGCAATAGACAGTGATTTTCTGTCTCTTTCCATCATTATACTCGCGTACAGTTTTCGACTTGTCACTTCTCAGTCGGGCGAATTTTGTGGCCGCAATGAGAGTGTTTCATTTTGGCGTTGTGAGAAAAGTTTTAAAAGGTACGTAAAAGCTAAGTATACAATATATATATATACATATACATATATATATATATATATATATATATATATATATATATATATATATATATATATATATATTGAGAAATTCAAAACATGATTGGAAATAATATTGTATATTATGAGTACGTATTGAGTACATGTTTGTTTGATTGTTTTAGAGGTTTTTTCTTGTCTGATCTTGATGAGTAAAAAAATCTGATAAACGTTTTGATTATCTGTGGAGTCTAAATATGGACTATTCCAAATTTGGATACCACAATATCATCTGGCTAGATTTCCAATTTAATATTTTGGTTTTAGAATGACGTCTTCAAGTTCAAAAGGAAAACGAAAAGAATGGAACACAGATCACATGACAGAAGCTATACGAATGGTTAGAGAGAAAAAACGGGTTATTTTAAAGCAACAAAAAACTTTGATGTACCAAGAACCACTTTGTTTCGATTGTGTCAGAAAAATGAGATATCTCCATAAGAAGCTGCAGCCACTAAATTAGGAAGAAAATCTGCTTTAGGTGACCAGCTCGAAAATCTACTAGTAGAATATATTTTAAAGATGGAGAGCAAGTTTCATGATTTGACGAGGAATGATGTTAGTAGAATGGCGTATATGTTGGCCAAACGCAATCATTTGGAGATACCGTTTGGTGAGTCCG